GAAACAGCGCGTGAGCGGGGGGAAGAGACGGCAGGTATTTAAAGATGTTAGAGAGAGAAAGAGCGAGGGGGGGGGGGGGTTAGGGTTAGGGTTAGGGTTAGGGTTAGGGTTTAAGGTTATAGGTATAGAACCCGCTTTTGGGACTCTTACCACGCATAGCACCACCGGAAGGGGGCTCAAATAGGCAAGCGAGCTTGCATTATTAGTCTCTCTTTTTTCTTTTTCTTTTTTTTCTTTTTTTTTTTATTCTTTTTTTGGATAATTAAGAGAGCTTGCATTATCAATCTCTTTTCTTTTCTTTTTTTTCTTTTTTTTCTTTTTTTTTTTTTGGATAATTAAGTGGAGATGACCCTATCCGTTTTTTAAATCTGACACTAGTTTTTTTTTTTTTAATTAGTTAAATGAGAATGAAAGCTTAGAACTTAACTTGAATATAAATAGGGCTGCCACTTTGACAATACTATCACCAAAGCCTCAGACATGTTCTCCATTATTAATTTCTGTATACCTTACCAAAACCATCTTCCTTTCATATGATATATTTTTAAAGGATCACATATAATGATACCGTTTACCTTTCCGGAGGCCACAATTACTCGAAAAAGTTCATATGGAGCTCTATATAAACTGCACCCATACTTATTACTATTCTATTTGAAATCTAGTAGCTTAGCCATGTTATAAAGTTCAATTTTTTTTTTTTAACTTTAAGCCTAGTCAATAGAATAAATACAACCATTCAATTTCACATCCAATAGACAATATTAACAACAAAAATAAATAGCCTTATTATATTTTTTTCCTATTTTTAATGGCATGTTTGAATGGTCGTTAATTTTTATCAAGTGTAAACTATTTTATTCAAAACTAATATGTTATGTATAATAGTATTTTATTACTTGTTTAATACATATTTTATATTATATAATTATATAATTTAACTATTTAACTTTTTCAATAATTTCCATCTATTTTTGGCTTTTACTAGGTAAAAATATGTGACTTTCAACAAATTACTTTAAGTAAAATAAAAATATTTCTAAAATAGACTTACATATGTAAAATTGCTCATAATTTTATGATAAACACTATTCAACAATAAAAATTTCATTATCATGATTAATATAGTTGAAATAATGAATTTTTGGTGACAAAAAATACATCTAAAAAGACCATAAAAGTTAAACTAATAGAGAAAGTCGAATTCCATGTCCAAAGTTCAACTCACACATAAAGAGTGATTAATGTAATTGAAATATTGATTTATTGGTGATAAAAAATACATCTAAACGGACCATAAAATTTGAATTCATAGAGAAAATCGAACTCCATGTCCAAAATTCAACTCACACATAAAAAAAGTGTAGCTTAATTACATTGTTCCCCATCTAATAAGTTATCCTCCCCCATTATTTTGAATAGGAATTGGACAATCAACTCTATATAGAGTGGGCTCAAGATTAAGTGGTTAGGGTGGTGGGTGCTACAACATGATATTTAGGGTGTGTTTGATAAGTGAGAGTCTAAATTGGAGTTAAATGTCCAAACATTCTTGCCGTGGAAGTTGTAAAGTGGAAGTGCTACCATCCACTTAGCTATTTTTGGTATTAAAATGGGTTCATTTGTTGAAGATCACTCTTCCGTAAAAAATAATGGAAGAGTAGTCTTTTATAATCCGTGGGAGAGTCCTTCCACTCTCAAAAACTCCCAAACTCTAAGTGTCAAACATGTTTTTAAAGTTTTGAGTTTCATTCGTACCATAAGTAAATAATAAAAAAAAAACAAAAAATTAATCCCCAATAAAAATAAATAAATTCTAAAGGCTATAATGGATATTGCTCCAAAACAAAAAGGCAAGGGTACCGATCAAAGGCGTATATAACGTGTTATCATTTGTAGATGTGCCTCTCTTTTCATGCGCCCGTTTGCTACTCTTAGATAAGGCTCTGTTTACTTAAATTCTCTAAAACTATTCTCCAGATAATTGCAAAAAAATAACCAATTTCCATTTTCGGGCAATGGTATACCCACTTCAAGTTCTTCTATCCTGGCTTTGACGGCCACTTTATCTGCCAGGTAAAATATGCCGCTTTCCCATTTATGAGAAAACTGGGTTTGTTTCTGTGTTCTAATGGAACTCTGTCTTTTTAGAAAATCTGGGAAATTAAACAAATTCAGCTGATAAATTGAATCTGAAGAACTGTAAATTTTAGAGTTTTGAAATTGGGTTTGTTTCATAGTTTTGGTAGCCGGTAGAAATAATATTAGTTTCAGTGTTAAAGTAGAGAGAGACTGTGATGGCAACCTCATTGAAGATTCCCATCTGAGAAAAACCTTGAAGGAGGAAACGATTTTGATTAGGTGTTTAACCTTAAGGTTCTGAATTTGTGTTGCTTTGATTGTTTTCAGTGGAACTGTAAAAAACCAGGTGCCTTCCATGAAGTGAGTTTTTTTATAAGTGTTGTTCCTCTTACAGCCAAGATTCCCATGTCAAAAGTGTTTGAAAATTAGGGTTTTAAAATTGGGTTTCATTCACTGTGGAACCACCTTTGAATCAGGCCTGTTAAGCATACTCCACGCTATAATACCTGGAAATTTTCCAGTTTTGCCTAATTGCTTAACCTAAAACACTGTCAGTGTTAAGCTTTCAAAACTGGGTTCATTCCAGTGTTCCATTAGAAACTGTGAAACCAGCTACTGCACTTTCTCCCAAAGAGAAATACCCCAAATTTAAAATTCCACCGATTTCAGCTAAAAATAATTTGGATTTTGATTTCCTTCACTAATTTAGTTGAAGCCTAGATTAGCGAATAATTCAACTTGAACATTGGAAATCAAGAGAAAAATCCTATTTTTAGCCAGAACCCAACTATATACAGTAGATAAGTTAGGGTTTTGAGGCCAGGAAAATGGAGGCCAACCAGAAGGGCAACATTGTTGGGTTTCTCAAGCAAAGAGGATTTGATGACAAGACGATCTCAGAGATGTTCAGGAAGTGTAAACGACTCGATAATGCATCCGAAGAAAGGGCTATTTCTAATTGGAACTACCTCATCAGTACTGGCATCCCAACAAGAAAGCTCCCCTCTATTGTTTCTAAGTGCCCTAAAATCCTTGTTTTGGGCCTATATGAGAAGCTTGAACCCATGGTTGAGTGCCTCAAAACCCTAGCAACAAAACCCAATGATGTAGCATCAGCCATTGCCAAATTCCCACACATCCTCTCTCACAGTATAGAGGAGAAGCTTTGTCCTCTCTTAGCTTTTTTTCAAGGATTAGGGGTCCCTGAAAAAGAATTAGGAAGACTCATTTTGCTTAATCCTAGGCTCATAAGTTACAGTATCGAATCGAAATTGTGCCCTATAGTGAGCTTCTTCTCAAGCTTGGGCTTCAAAAGAGAAGGTGAAATTGGGAAAATATTCGTTAAGAATCCTTATGTGATGGGTTATAGTGTGGAGAAAAGGCTTAGACCCACCTCTGAATTCTTGAGAGAAATTGGACTAAATGAAGAGAACCTACAAAGAGTTGCCGTGAACTATCCCGATGTTTTATGCAGAGATGTGAAGGTTTTGATACCCAATCTAGAGTTTCTCAAAGGGTGTGGTTTGGGAGTTAGAGAGATTGTTGTTTTGATTGCTGGCTTTCCTCCTGTTCTGATAAAGAGTGTGAAAAATTCCCTTGATCCAAGGATTAGGTTCTTGGTGGATGTAATGGGAAGGAGACTGGAAGAAGTTGCTGAATTTCCAGAGTTTTTCAAGCATGGATTGAAGAAGAGGATCGAATTCAGGTACCGTTTGGTGAGAGAAAAAAGTTCAGGTTGCAGTTTGAGTGAATTGTTTGGATGTAACCAAAAGAAATTTGCATTGAAGTTTGGCTTGCTTCAATCGATTAAGGAGCCTAGAGAGAGAGCAGAGAAAGCAGTGTTCACTATTTGAGTGCAATTTTGATGATTGCCTTTTTCCCTCTTTTTAGCAGTTAATTTATGGCTCTGGCATTTTTAATTCCAGATTTTTGTTTGTTTACATTATTGTACTTATGTATGGCCCTCATGATTGTAACTGAGTAGTGCATGAATGAAAGTGGAGGCTTAATTCAGATATCATATCATTGTTTGGGGGCGGTAAGAGCATAGGTAAAGATATAACTAACCTACCTTTGTCAACACCAACCTACTAAGGAGGGTACCAAACACCATGGCAGCTGCTGCTCTCTCTCTCTCTTTTTCTTGTCAACAAGCAATTATTGTGTTGCTCTTCCATTTCTCCTTTCAAATTGTGTTCCTTAAACCATTTTTGTTTGTTTTATTGTGTTGCTCTTCCATTTCTCCTTTCCTTAAAACCATTTTTGTTTGTTTTGTGTTACTCAAACCATTTCCATTTTTGTTTGTTTTATGGTAGTTGATGATGTGGAATTTGCACCACCTTTAGCTGCAACACTCTTTATGTTCAACTCATTCATTGTTAAGAAAAAGGGTCCGCTGAGCTCATTGTTTAAAAAGAAGGGCCTGCTGAGCTCATTGTTTAAAAAAAGGGTCTGCCGACCGCCTAAGCGCTTCTTTTTTTAGGATAAAGTACTCTTTTAAGACTCTAAACCCCTAAGTGAAAAAAAACTTAAAATCTAACCCCAAAATCTATTGATTTTGAGATCTCTGTCAATCAGAAATTAAAATAATAGATTTCAAGAAACTTCCATGAGCTTACTCCTCATTGCTGGAGTTTTTCTAGGGTGCCAGCGAAAGTATTTGAAGACTTCTATACTTCTCATTTGTATTTCATCTTGTGTAGTTGTTCGTATGGAATATGCCATACCAGTCCGAGGTTAATACAACACATTTCAACATTCATGCATATATACTTTCAAGAAAAAGTCAGAATACATGTAAATACAAAATTGATAGGGCATATATGCAATTTTTTACCTCAGGGCTCAGGCGCCCTGCCCAGCATTTTTTGAAGCATTGATTCAACTCTTGGCAATTCTCTCCATTCAGTAAATCCTATAATTTCGAATCAAATTATTCACTATGTTTGCCCCAAAAACAATGAAAATAATATAGTTCTTCCCAAAAAAAAACTCCATCCCAATCAGTTGTGCCTCAATCCAACGAATTAATATCATTCTCCACACTGCTTTCCATGGCTGCTGCTTGGGAAAAGAAGTCTTCTGATGGATACATCTCATGAAACAACTGCACAGAGAGAGAGAGAGAGAAATTATATATATATATATATATATATATATATATATATATAGAGAGTAGTAGCGTAAGATAACTATAGTATTAATAAATACTCGTACTACG